TAATTCTTTAAATGATATAAATTTTGTGCATTCTGAGTTATAATATGAACGAAATATAATACTGTTAAGTAAACCTAGCGCCAGAGTGTCGCTATGGTAAACAAAGTGAATTTTAAAGAATGCATTTATTCTATTGTGGTTTATGCGCTGTCGGCGAAGTAGGTTTAATTCAATCTAATAAGTTTAAATAAAATGCAAGAAAAAATGCGTATAATTTAATATTCCGTACAAGGAAGACATGTGGTGTACACATCAGATTTTTTTAATTCTGTGTCCTCCGTTTTCGTTTACTTTTTGTAGTAGGTTCCAGGAATAAAAAAAGATATAACGGATGTTTCAAACTCATGTCTCTTTTTTGAATTATTTTTTGATGAACTGCTCGTGCTTCATATTGTTACTGAAACTAACCGTTTTGTAGACGAGTATATGAACTAACACCTTGCAAACGAAAAATCAAGAACAAAATTGTGGCATTCAACCAGTTCAGAAGAAATATATGTTTTTTAGGCATACTGATTTCACAAGGTATAACACTGAAACCTGATATTACACTTTACTGGTCTAAAAATGAATTGATCGAAACTCCATTTTAGGGATCTTTTTTATTATAGAAACATTATTTTTATTATACTTACATCTTTTTATTATACTTTTACTCAAAACATTAAATTTTGTGCATTCATTTTTTTCTTTTATTCTTTATTTTATGAAAGTAAACAGTTTTTAGAAAGTAAAACTTGCACTTATTTTCCCCCTAATACAGTACAAATTCTTTAATTCGTACTCGTCGGGAATTCGGCGATTCTGAATTATAGATCATCAATTTAAATCTCGTAAGATGGCATGCAGAAATTATAAAATTAAAATTATGAAACCGTAATTTATGAAATAAAGAGCAATTATGATCTAAAGGGTATCAAAATTTACAAAAAAAAAAAAAAAAAAAAAAAAACTTAATATTTATTTGTTTACTATTAAACATTTCTTTCAATGTATGTTGTTTAAGTTGCTTCGTTTTATGTGCTAATACTTTCTCTTTAATTTTATAAACAGACATATTTTCTTGTTCAGTTACAAAGTTCCGCTTTTCAAGTCTTGTAATTCCTGTGCCAAGAATACCGACTAACTTGTCAATCGAAATTTTTTCGTTTTCACTAACCTTTCTGTCACTTTCTTCATGCCGTTATCCATTTTTTGCAGCAATTCCACTTTTTGTTTGATGGACATCGAAACAAGCTTTCGGTTTGTAGATCCTTTGGCAGCTCCAGAATCGGAAACTCTTTTTGACATAATCGAAAGTTCAAGCTTACGTTTTATAAAATTGCTCTAACAGTCTGAAAAAAAATAATAAGCCGGATCCAATTAGAAGATTAAGGAACAACGCAATCTGCAACATTAACTGAAAAAGATAATTTTAGCCTAGCTTATACCGTCCGTTATACATTAAATGCGCATGCGTAAATGCTACGCATGCGCAGAAAGTTTGTAGCTCTGAGGTCCGGATTTTAAAGACTTTATACTGTACATCGCATAACTACGCACGCCTGTGTGAAAAACCGTAGCTCTGGGATATGAATCTTGTATGTTTTTTGCGGCAGTTAATATTATCTACTTTAAAAACAACATGGCCATAATAATTAGTAGGCACGGAACTATTTCCCATTTTATTTATTAACCTGATGATTAGCGGACAGTTTGAAATTTATGACAGACTGAGAAATACTCGACAGATAATTTCCACAATGTTGGTGGCAGCTTACAACAGCACAGGAAGACAATACTTTGGCGGGTGGAAGACAATCCCACGCATTAGACAGGAGGCTAAAAGCGAGTAGCAGTACTATGCACAGGCTATCACAATCAGAGGGACCCATTTCGCTACATAACCATGCAAGGTCTACATCCAGATGACTTTCAGCAACGGACAAACTTTTATCAATGGCTATTGCGGCAACCATGAAACCGACAATGCTTTCATTGCGTATATGTTGTGGACTAGTGAAGCATGTTTCTCATGTTATGGGGTCTTTAACAGTAACACCAGAGCTTAAATTGCGCTGGAGCCCGGCTCCGGGACTTCTAAGTTTTTGAGATAAATTATAATTTCAGCCGGAGCGAAGCGGAGTCCTAAATAAAAGGGCTCCAGCACTTCTTTTATGCACGTCAACCACAATTTTAGCACATGAATTTTGTTTTAATAGTAAATATATTTTAAGAATCCGATTCTAACTTCTTAATGCAGGCCTGTCTTTCCGTCGCATTCAAGCCTTACACAGAGGTTGAGACTTTTAAGGTGCGAAAAGCCCCCAATTATATCTCAAAGGTTTATTCTACAGGATATGCAATGAATTCATGACAGCGGGTAAATTTTGTATTCCTTAAAGAACTAAAAGTGATACTCTGGTCATGCACGTTCCACGCTAGTGACTTCTTACTGCAGAGCTCTTGTAGACTTTCTGAATGATGTAACCAAACGCGAGAATATTGCTGTCACTTGAACAAAGAAGTCTTATGTTTATTCTCACGTTGTATTTAGGAAAATTTATTCAGGAAAAGTAGTCAGGAAAATTTCTGCTTGACGGCTAGAATTATATAGACAGGGCATCGCCATCAGAAAGTCTTGAACTCTTCCCTCTTTATTTTCAAAGCTTTTCGGTTAAATTTCTTTCCATATCCTCATGCTGTTCCTAGAATTCTCACTGTTCTCCTTAGTAGAGCTTTATCCCTTTTCCTTGGTGTGTTGCAAAAAAAAAAAAAAAAACTGGTAACTGCCCTCTCTTGGAATAGTACATTATATGCATAATAAGTGCTTAAACTCAGACCGAGATTGGCTCAGCTGCTTCCTAGCATCCAAGTGGAATTGTAATTCCAGACGATGCCCCAAATAAGACGAGGTCCGATACTTTTTTTTCTTTCTATTTAACTATTCAAAATTAATTTAATAATTTATTAGATTTCTCTTTACCTCTTTACATTGTTCTTAATTTAATTAATTAACTAATTAATTCCTTTTAATTAATACTAATTTATTATTTAATTTTATTAGCTATTTTATTTATTTATTTATTTTCTTTCCTTCCTCACAGCGTTTCATAGGGCTCCACCTTTTCCAATTTTAGGAATTAAGCCCTGAGTAACACAACTATATATAGTCAGACTCAATCCTTATGCAATCCACCAGCATAAACATCAGGTCCGCTTTTCCGTAATTGATTGAGCCGGCATACTAGACAGTCACATGACTGGACCATATCCTGCTACCTGAACGGTTTAAGGGACATTCATACATAATATTTCTCCGTGATGTATTAACCGACTTTCTAGATGACATTCACTTAGTGGCCATACATGGCCTATGGTTCCAGTATGATGGAGCTCCGACAAATTTCAATGCGCCTGAACGTGATTGGCTGGATCTATATCTTGTGGACCAGTGAAAACCAAGGCTTCTGGACTAGACGTGGGGGTCCGATTTTATGGGCATCACAATTGCCAAATCTGACACTTTTGGATTTTTCCTATGGACCATCTGAAGGAATTGGTCTAACGAGATCTAATTACTACAGAAAGTGACTTAGTTGCTTTTCTTCATGGTGCATGTATTTTGGTGGATACCACGTTGCTTTGGTGAACTCTAGCACGTCAACAGTCAGCCATTTCATAGCGCGCATGCATGCCTCGATATGCATGGTGAACATTTTGAACATCTTCCTATGTAAACATATGCAAATACCGATGTTCATGTTTCGATATAGTTTTTTTACCTTTCACCGGATATAATGTCATACTTTTCTTTCGCATTTATCTCGAAAACTGTTAGCCGTACAAGTAGAGTTCTTTGAGTACATTTTATGCATGGCAAGCAAAGAATCTGGCTATGCAGAGTTCGTATGGTCTTGATGGGACACTTTGTTCAATGAAAAAAATAAAACTTTATTTTCTCACCGCTGGTGAATCAACTTAACACATTACTAAATTTAAGTATCCTCAACTATTGCAGCTTGTTGGAATTTTATAGTGTACTACCTGACTACAATTTCAGGTCAAGTCATGATGAAATGTAATGGACACTCAATGTTTAACTATAGGTAATGCGGTTGTAGTCCAACTGCACTAAGTATTTAGATAGCAACACATAGCAAGGTTACACAAGAACCTTGAAAAATGTTTCGTATTTGGTGCTTTTCGCACTCGCAAAAATTTGAAACAGTTGTTGCTTTTCGCACTTACATACATTTAAAGCAGGTGGTTCCTTTCACACTTTAGAAAAGTTGGTGCCTTTCGCTAGAACTCCAACGCTGCTATACGAAGCCACATCAACTGGATCGGAAAACAAAGATCAACTCTAATGCACAACAACACTTATCAACCATGCAAAATGTTGGTGATCACATCTACTATCTGAATCAGCGGCTTTCTTTCTAGTTGACGAGCAGCGGCACCAAAAGCCAAATCTCTAATACAAATCATGCCGGCAGGACCGGATTGAGACTTTTAGAGACCCTAAACACTTTGGAAGACTTTGGTGCCCCCACATATGTTTTCAACAGTCTTTTCTTCATTCCTTCTCTTTTTCCGTTTTATTTTGAGTTGTGCCATACAATCAGTGGTGAAACTGGCAATGCAATTTTTTTTTTTTTTCGTGTCCTCTTTTCGTGATTAGATAAGAATCCCCCCTTTTCTTGATGTTTTAAGCGCTCGCTTATATTGCTTATTGGTTAATAGAGTCCTGCATGCGGGTTACAAGTCTTCCTCTCAATTTAAACTACGGCGCTTGACCCTCCTTATTGAGCTAATGTGTAACGAAACGAGGTATAAAGGAAAACATTAACATACACTTGAACTGTTAATAAAATTTAAATGAAATTTCACAAACTCATAGAAGAAGAAAATCATCTGGAACCGCGAATGGTCATCTTAGAGCGAGTTCACTGCATATGCCTTTGCAGAACAGGTAAATAATCAGAACTAATTCTGAAAAGAACATAAATGGTACTCACCCTGAATGTTAGCGTAGTTTGCCTCATCGACTTCCACAACTTCTTGGTATAGTTTCTCTTGGATTTCAGGATGCTTTACTAAGAGATAGAAAGTGAAAGCTAAAGCCGTGGCTGTAGTTTCGTACCCAGCTAGTACGAACACATAAGCATTTGCGATAATTTCATCATCCGTCAATTTTGTACTGGCTTCACGAGAATCTGTGGTAAGACACAAATGGAAAAAAAAAAAAAAAAATTATTTCCGTTTCTTAGCTTTCGTAAGTTTTTCCATTAGGGTCTGAATGTTAGGAAAATAAGTAAATTATGCAATGGAATTAAAATTGGTCTTTAATCAGTTTTCTTGTTATTTTTTATATATATACATATACCTTTAGTTGACTTTAGTTAATTAGCAATGATGAAGGAGATGTGATAGAAATAATCCCCACGTTTCGACAGCAGAGCGCTCTTTGAAACTGAGAGACATAATGAAAAGAAGCAGTAACCATTGATATTATACGTAATTTTTTTAGCATTCCCAGGTCTCTGAAAATGTCTATCAATTATACTAAATCAGTGGTGTCAGATTCAGAGTGCATGCGGGTCAAAAGCAAGTTTGAGGGAACAAAATCTTTGTTTTTAATAAGACAAACATTTTTTATCAGCAAAGCACAAAAATATCTAAAACTAAATTTTAAATTTAGCTTATAAATTAACTTAAATTTATCTTAAGTATTTATCAAAACATATATAAACAATAATAATTATGACGCAAAGGAAAAAAATCAAGTTTTTTTTTGTATCTTTAATCTAAAGCTCGGTACCTGCAAGACATTTTTGTTGATAACACGTTGGAATTGAAACATTTGTAATTTGTAGTTTGTTGGCTTTGTAATTCAACAACTAAATATTAAATTTCAGACTGATATTTATTTCAAATAATTCTAATATGTTTAATTAACCCTTAAATAACTTACTTAAAAATAAACAGATTATGGAAACTTTCTCAGTTTTAAGAGAAATTTTTCCAAGCGAAACAGAGTAATTGTAAGTCTCTTTCTTTTATTGATTAAATGTTTCTTTGACACATAAAGAAATATATATATATATATATGTGTGTGTGTGTGTGTGTGTGTGTGTGTAACAAACGCAAAATTTAGAAGCACTCATGTATGAACACCGAGATGTAGAAACGCTGAAAAATACTGATGATGAAGCACATAAAGATGACATATTGGAGAGGAAACATTTCGATTGCGTAGTATGCTAATGTGTTGAGGTTATAATATCTACTTGGCAGTCGAGGCAATTTTAATTCCATTTTTATTTGCAACTAACTTTTGTGGCCATAATCACTTGGCACCCTATATAGTTGTGCCTATTCACAGAACAATTACATTTTTGATATTACTGTATCAATCAAGAATAATGAGAATTAAATAAGAATCAAGAATGTTTAAGACAGGCAAACTGGCATTACGAAATTCTGATGTTATAATGAAAGCCGATTTCATTTAATTCTAAAAATACCCCTTCTTATTATGAATTTCAAAACTGTGCATAAATCTGATTTTAATGAAGGCAGTGTAATTTACCATTTTTTCCATGGTCCACCAAGAGCTGGAGAAAATCCACACTTTTTATTTCAGGATTTTTTCGTCTAGCTGCAATAGCTTTCTCGACGTTGCTCACAATCAATGAAGTCATCTGGCCTGAAGTCATGTAATTAGTAATAAAAGCCATGATAGTTGCTACGAAGGGAAACATGATAGCGCAGTCCACAGCTCGATTATGGGAGAAACGGAAGAAGTCGCGAACCTGGAACAGAATAACAATTTCCAGTAAGCCGTTTTAGTACATACATGCTACTACAGATAGAATATGTGATTATGAAGAGTATTTCGAGGCAGAACTGATAGGTTCCAGTTTTCCTCCTCAGGAGATGAGGAAAGACATAAAGTTTATACATGCGACTGCAGATAGTATATGTGATTATCAAGGGCATATTTAGAGTCAAGGCAGATAGGTTCCAGTCTTCCTCTTCAAGAAGTGACGAAAGACATAATGTTTGGACCAAAATGTACATTTGAAAAGATGGTGAAAAAACTTTTAAGAACTGAATTTTCTAACAAGGATGATTTTTCATCTTCGGAACTATCTGTTACCTTTTCTGACAGTAACAACGTAGGGAAGTGGTGTTTCAGATTTAGGTTATTTGAACATGGCAAAGCTTACGAGGGCTATCTGCCTGGGGAAAGAAGATGCTTTCGTGGAAGGCTTTCTAAGGAAAACCGGCTCGTATTCACGTTACATTATAAGGTATTTCTCCCGCCTTCTTAGCATGCCTTCGTGGTGTAATGGTCAGCACATTCGGCGCGTATTCTAGAGGTCCGAAGTTCAAGTCCCGGTCTGAGGTTCGACTCTTCGTTCATTTTTTATCTCTCCTGCTTCGAAATAACCTAATATATCTCTAAAGTGGAGCCCGAACTAGAAAAGGTGGTGGAGGAGGATTCCCCATCACCAGTATTTGGCGACTGGGTCCCCTAATATCCAGTCGCCCTTTAAAGGGGGAGTATATAAAGTATTGCGCCAGCCTTCGTAGCTTTCGTAGCATGCCTTTGTGGTGTAATGATCAGCACACCACGAATGGCGCGTATTCGAGAGGTCCGAAGTTCGAGTCCCGGCAAGGGCATTGCTCATTTTTCACGTCTCCTGCTTAAAATAACCTAATGTCTCTGCAACACATACGAAAAACTAATCACAGAGTGAGGCCGCTCGCCTGAGATCGAACTCTAAGCACTCAGCGCTCTTAATCATTAAGCAATTTTCGAGGCAGGTGTTGCTTCAGAGTGATTTTCATTATACGAAGGAATTCATGAAAAGAATATCCCCAGCACTCTATTATCGGCTCCTATTTTAGTAGGTGACAATATTATTTTTCTGAAAATTACATTCGTTTAAAAATATTTATCGTTCTGTCAGTTTCTATTATTCCCATAGTTCTAAACTTAAATGATAAAAGTTGTATTTTATTATTATTACATTTGGAAAATTGAAATGGACAACGGTTATTCACTTACTGCAATCAAGAAAATATCTTTCGTGTTCTCTTGGCAATGCGTCTTCATTGCGAGAGCGCAATCAGCGATGACGTCAAGAGTTAATGCTTGGACATTCTCATAGATGTCAAACATTTCTCCCTTCTCAGCCTTCTTTGTGATTACATCTAGCATCACGTCAACCTTTATGGAGATAAAAATATCACACATTAACATTTTTTTCTGATTATTAGTTAAATTTTATTCTATTAAAAGAAACATTCTAATTTTATAAAAACTTAATTTTTTCCTTCAAAAAGTGAGCTGCAGTCATTTGTATTTGAAACTAGGCAAAAATCAACCTTAGAATAATAATTTACTAGATTTTTAGAAAAATTCTGTGCTGCATTGCTTCAAGTTTTCTATAAAACTAACGTCAGTCTAAGGTTTATTTTCCTTCAATTTAAAATTTAATATGGGCGTGTTTTTCTTTCACATACTGTAGTCCTTTTTTTTTTTGGGAGGGGCTCCAAATGGAAGACACTCATTTTCTGCATTCCTTTGAGAGTTTTGCAAATTCGATAATGCTTCTTTCAAAGAACAAATAATTTAAGATTACAATACATTAATATCAAAGTTTACATTGACACTGAATTATAAACTACAAAGTCACTTACTTATTTCTAGATATCACTGATTCGTTCAGAATTTAAATATATTTTGCTTCTCCAGAAGAGTTCCTACGTATATTCCTACGTATAAACGTTGAACATGATAACAAATTTTAGATAAACTTCAGATTTAATAAATATAATAAACGTACTTCATTGTACCTGCTTAAATCCATATTAATCTATCATCCAAAATAGTAACAACATACAACAAAACTCGGTGAGATTACACATTTGTGATTCTAGTTCTACACATTTTGGCCTTCCTCTAATTCTCTTTATGCAAACAAGGATGGTTATTAGAAATCTAATTGTAATATACAAAACAACTCCCAACAAATATATAATATTGTAATATGTAAATTTATGCCTTGAATTTATCATATTCAGAAATTCCCATGTTCTTCTCTTCCCTTATTTATGACAAATGCGTAACAGCAAGTTAAAGAAACTAAAGCATCAAGAATCATAAGTTGCATAAATTTGCAGGACTAATTCCGAAAGTTAATAGAGCTTCTTCTTCAGCATCATTTTAGGCATGAAAATGTTGGGGAAGCATATGCTTGCAAGATGAAAATAGACAAAACTTCAAGAACGTGTCAGCTATGGAAAGGGAAAAAATTACTGGCACCATCAATTGGCAGAATATGAGAACAATTATGGAATAATTTCTTTAAAAGCTGAATTTAAACGCGTTGTTTTCACTTTTTGTCAATAGACGGCGCAAATAACTTCGTTCCTTTCCTTAGCTGGAATGTTCTCCAATCTTTTATCTATTGTTATCACATAAGCACACGCTTCTCTTTCGTTATTTTCACTCCTGCAGCTGAAGAAGTATCTATTTAACCTTCGAAACTAGCCCTGGAAATTTATGCAGTTTATTCTGATTCTTGTTGCTTCAGTATTTTCAACATTTGTTCTTCAGCGTATTATTTTAGTTAATAGAAAAATAGTATGTTTTCTGTCAATTAATTAATGTTACAAAAATTTTAGATACTTACTTTTTTGTCCACTATGTAAGTCATAAGTTTGATCTTTCCTGAACTGAATGTTGGAGTTAAAACTGACCTAACTTCTTTCCATCTTTTGTCATTCAAAGCCAAAACAGTTTTGTTGAGAGGATGCACATCCAAATGCATGTCTGCTCGGTTGGTAAAAATGGGAAAATCTTTGATCATTACCTATATTAAATACAAAACAACTTCTGATCTATTTTTGGAGCAAAAACGATATGCTGTAAGTCATGCAATAAATTAATATAGGTGGTAAGATCCACAAATTTCTGGCCGAATACATTTCTAAACAAAACAAAATAAAACCGAATTATTTATTTCCAACAAAGTCTTTTTATTCTTGAATATACTTTTCACATCTTTTAATTAGCAGTTCTAAGCTCTTAAAAATTTAAGCTAAAGATATGTTAGCAAAATGCTTGGTAACCACTACCTTTATCAAACGTTTTTTCACGAGTACAGATTTATTTTTTAAAATTTATTTATTGATATTGAAAAAGTTAGAGAACGGATAATAGTCACTCGGAATTGGATCAGGACTTCAAAGAGGATGGTGAATCTCCTGAAGACCATATTTCTTTATTGCTTCTTTGGCAACGACAACTATATAGAGTGGACCACTATAGTAGAAATGAGCTTCTCGACTCAACATTCCGTACCTTTTCTGCCTAATTTCATTGCTCAATTTATGCAAAAGACTTACATAGTATACCCTAATCAGGGTCATGCTCCTTCCTTTAAAGTCTATTAATAAAGATCGTACGTGGTAGAAAAAAAAAAAAAAAAAAAATTGCGCCATCGTTTTCGTTGATTGATTACTTTTGTTTTTCTCCCAATTTTCACCATTCCATGCAATCCTCTTTGCTAGGAGATCATATTATAGAACCATGGTTTCATTTCGAACAATAAATGATTGTAAAAAAGTTATCTGAGTTCGTTAAAATGCAAAAACTTGTTACAAAACTTCGCATTCTGTTATTTTCATTTTTGAATTGCTGACAGAAGGTGAGGACCCACTTTGCTAAGACCTTGTTCGTGGTGGTATTTAGAAAGAATGCGTATAAAAGAGTTTCTGTCTTTTTGGCTTTTATGTGCTTTTAATATTTCTTTCTTGACGAGAGCAATATTTTGTGAGGTCAGCCCTTCATTGGTCAACCATGCTCTGAATAATCTTCAATAAACTCTCATCCCATGTGAAGTTCCTTTGCCCATTTTTTCATTGTCGAATATAAACAAGAGGAACCACTATAAGCGTAATCCAAACATTATTTTATTTCACTAGGATTTAGAGTTTTAAACATCTTAGAAAAACTTGAAAAGCACTTCATTCAGATAAATGTCACAATAGAACTATAACGGTTTCGTTAATGAAACTTTCATATTTATTCACTTAAAGCAAAATTATACGTGCATAAGAGAAATTTATTGCCAAATGAATTTTTTTTTAAATGGGACGTCGGTAACTTTTCGATCTTAGTACGTATGTTATATTCTACAGAATAATTAAAAAAGAAAGAAAGAACGCAAAATAAAATAAAGGGGGTGGGAGAAAAGTCAATAGAGATACCCAAGGTTCTTTAATATACTAATATTTAATATATATGTTTCGAGACATAACATTTTGTTTACATTCACAATACAAACTACATTTCATAACAGTAGTAGTTTACAATGTTGTGACATTGTACTTTTAACAACTTAGAAATAGTCATTCGACCTTGTAATTAATGTATTTTTTAATTACAAACAGTTTTAAAGCAAGTTTCTTTCAAACGCCAAAAATTGTTTGACAAAATATTATTAAATTTGCCAATGTGAAATGTTTGCGAAGAGGATATTTGCAGTGGCAGAATACTTTCCCTAAAACACGAAAGCTTGTTTTGATTGTTGGGATCATGTCATAAGAAGCCTCACATCTTTGTAAATGCATGGGAAATGTTTTCTGGTACACTATCTTCAAACTCGACACTGTGTAGTAAAGAATCATATGCATTTGACTTAACTGGCAATGATTTTTTACACTCATTTTCATTAACATTTTGAACTTCTTCATCATCATCAATCGCTGTCCTGGCTGCTATTGAAAAGTATCTTCATATATGAGTAGGATGTAATATGAGGAGGAGTTATAAAGATGATGCAATCCACTTCTGTGCCTTTTTCATATCAGCCTTATTTCTTTTCTTCTTTTTCATTTCTGTATTCAAATACCTCAAGCGTATAAATGTTCGTGTCTTAACATATATTTTAATGATTTCATTATGCACATCAGGAAACTTTTGTGCAATTTTTTTACACATAGTTTGCATAATGTTATTATTTCTTGAAAGACCATCTTTCCCATGTTCACTTACAAACACTACTTCAAATTGACTTATTTTTTTTAACCATTCCTCAGATGGAACAAGTAAACCACCACGAGAAAGCGTTTCTATCCAACCAACGTGTTCATCTGAAGGCAGATGGAGCAATTGTTCTGTAGGTGTTCCCAAAGAATGGTCATATTTTCTTCCACGGTAGGCTATGTAGCCTGCAAGGTACCGAAAACCCTCTACAGAGCAGTCAGCTGCAGGTTCACTTGCAAGGGTCAATCTAGAATTATCAAAAAACAATATCCCTCATCTCAGTTTCACCGTCTAACATCTTCAGAGCTTCAGTCATGTCAGGTAAAATATTACCAAAAAAGTTGGAAGTAATGTATGCATCTTCCTCCTCATCAGGAGCAACAGAAGATGATGATTAGAAAGTGAAATCTGGTTAAAGGAATTATTATGTTAACAATAAAAGACGCATTCGATACTTTCATCTACGGTGCAGTGGATGATCATATTAAATGGCAAGACCTTCGGATTCGGGAAAAAAGTTTTTCCAAAAGCAATCTTGATTTGAGTCCTGTGAAGTTAAAAGGTATTTAAGCTCTACTCCAATAATGATTTTAATATCAGTCGAAAAAATAAATGCAACTTGAACATTTCTATGTGGGCCAACAATCTTATCTTCTGCTTGGTCATAACAGATTCTACTATCCACGTTCATTTCATCGAATGAAAGAACACACATACATTCTTTGTCTGTCATCTGTAATGCCCCAGCACGCATAACATGAATTACATCGTGTAGCAAACCAGGAGAACAGCGAAATGAACAAGATACCCATCTCTTCAAAGTCGAAATGCTAGGAAATGGAAATCCCATTTTTTGTCTGAGATAGTTATAGCATCTTTTGGATACTGCCCTAAGTGTTGCAGATTTGCAAATGTCATCTGCATTCCACTTAACATATTTTTTATTTGACATGAGAAAGCGAATTTGATTGTCCGTAAAAATTGTCCCTAAAATTTTTTTAACTGCACTATGTACTTGTTTGCTTGTTACTTTCCTGCTCATTTTCTGATAGCTACGCAATTTTCTACGAGAAGCAGTAAGTTCAGTAAAAATAATTTTCTTTTGCATTTTCAATTGACTGCACAACACATTTAATCTCTTATTTTCCTTTTCTAAGATTTGCACACGCTCAACTAAATGAGATGTGTCACTGGATGTAAACTGAGTTGCACAGTCTATCTTATCAGCTTGTAGTTTTTTTCTTTTTGGGGGAAAGGGAAGCTAAATTTTCCAATGCTCGTTTCCTTGTTCCCCGAGCCTGACACCTGCTTGCTCTATCCCTTTTTAGCATAAATTTAGATGACTCATTCCTGTTAGAAAACGTTCTCTCCAGATTAGGTTCAGTTTTTGAAGCACAACATATATACTTTATTGATGAGTTATTTTCACATGATGATGACGGAAGATGTAAAGTGGGAACAGCATTGGCTTTCAGCACCCTTTTAGGAGTTGAACCAAGCAATTCTGCCTTTAGATCTCGTACGTAGTCATCAGGTGTAAAATGAAGAGCACATACTCTGGCATTTTCGATGTTGAAATTATCTGCTCTTTTGCAGCGATTAGTCCATAACTTACGAAGTTCTGGATCACTTGGAAAACGATGGTATGTGATGCCTTGACTTTTAGTTTTCCTTCTATAATTCTGACACAACGCTATAGCACAACTTGCCATTTCCGACTACTTATAAAAGCAAATTAACAACACAAATCAAATGTATCACAGATCAAATGCAACGAATGTAAACAAACGCCGAGAACTAACGACTGTCACCCTGACTTATAAAGAGCAAAATTTTTCTCCCTGCACCCCCGGGTGCGTTCGAATAAATGGTTTAATTGAACAAAACGTTGGCCACAATTCATTTTAATTTTATTTTGAACGAAAAATAACGTTAGCATATTTATCAAGCATAATTATTGTTTCAAATAATTATAAAGCTGTTGCATGCTTTCAGGCCTGGCTATTTTTTTAGCTTTTCCTATGCTGTAAGGAAATTTGTAACTACTTCTTTTAGAAAATAAAATTTTAAATCTGAACTAATAGAAAATTTCAAACTAAGAGTTTTCTCTTATAATTTTTATGCTTTTTATTGGTGTAAATAAGTAAAAAATACTAAAATACCTAAAAATGAATTTTTTAAAGTTTTTGCTTAAAATTTTAACTTGTGCTGCTTTTTTAAGATTACATGCGAATATTATAGCATATTTTATATAAAGGAGTTTTATTTCAATTATATTTCACAATACATCATAGTGATAAACACTTTTAACACCTTAATAATTTTTATACATTTATTCTAATGTCAAAATTGTAAACTGTAATAATTGATTGTGCTAACATTTTATAGTGATTATTTTTTAAAAATTTAAATCTAATTCTGCAGAAGATTTTTTTATTTACTGTGAATTTAATTTATTAGCCCAAAGGGGGGTGGTCGAGAAAGGCTATTAGTTTCGAAACGGCATTTTGCTCTGTTTCATTATAAACGTCCGTTTCACTATGAAAATTGTTGCCATCAAATATTATCGCCTTGTATTATATTTAAAGAAATTTAATAATAAATAGTCTGCATGAATACATGTATGTTCCTCGCATTGTGAAAAAACGATGGTATTTAGAGCCATAAAATTTTGAACCTGAACAGCCGAATTTGTTTTAATCCATTTCATATTTTGTAAAACTTTAATGAATTGTTGATTAAGAAACTTATAACGAGTTCAAAGCGAGCAATGGCAACACTGCGTGGAAAATAACATTTTTATCTCCAGCGCGGAAATTCTAAAGATATGCTGTTTTAAAAAATTTTGTGATACTGCTGTTGAATTGAATTTTGTGTTGTTTACGTGCGAAGAACACGATATTCAATAAATAGAGGTAACACACAAAGCGTTAAAGAACGTCCCTTTGAGCGTAACATAAAACCTGAGCGCTTCCAAATTTTATTTATTTATTTATTTTCATTACACTGAGATAAGTTTTTGCTCCGAATTTTATGAATTATTAAAATATATAATCATCATATGATGTTAATAATTAATAATCATATGATCAAATAAATGATCGTCTTGTAATGTTATAATAATTTTATAAACCACTGCCTGAAAATGCTCATAAACTTTAAAAATATATATATCAGATCTTGTTTAATTTTGCTTTATTTGTTTCAAAGCTTCACGTACTATCAATCTTATTTAATTTTACGTTATTCGTACTCAAAATTAAGCTCATAAATTTTGTGCTTAGAGTTTTTACCGTTCTAAAAAAGTAAAGATGTTTGTACACGAATTACGCGTGAAAAAAAATGCACGAAAGGCAGTAAAAAGTGCTTTAATGAGATATATTAAATCCTATTTGGAAAAAACTGTGGCTTTCATAATCTCATCACTATACAACGTATCACATTTAATAATTAAAAAGAGATACAAACGCCATAGGTTTCAGTGTTAAAGTAAACCAGATCGTCCATAGTCCGCATGTCGGTGACACACGCCCCGCCCACTGGGTTAGTCTATCTCTTATCAGATCCATGCTGTCACCCACATAACGTCATGCGCAGGTGGCCATGGACCTTATAAGAGATAGACCAACCCAGTGGGCAGGGCGTGTGTCACCGACATGTCGGCAAGAAAGACTATAGACGATCTGGTTTACTTTAACACTGAAACCTATGGCGTTTGTATCACATAACTCTTTTTAATTATTAAATGTGATACGTTGTATAGTGATGAGATTATGAAAGCCACAGTTTTTTCCAAATAGGATTTAATATATCTCATTAAAGCACTTTTTACTGCATTTCCCACATTTTTTTTCACGCGTAATTCTTGTACAAACATTTTTACTTTGGTAAATAGGTAAAAACTCTAAGCACAAAATTTATGAACTTAATTCTGCGTAAAAATAAAGTAAAATTAAATAAGGTTGATAGTACGGGATGCTTTGAAATAAATAAGGTAAATTTAAACAAGATCTGATAATTTTTTTAAAAAATTTAATAAACATTTTCAGTCAGTGATTTTCCAAACTATAATAACATTACGAAACGATCATATTTATTTGACTATATGATCATTAAATTATTAACATTAAAGTGGATTAGTTATTTTAATAATTCATAAATTTCGGAGCATAAAATTTTCTGAGCGTAATGAAGGAAAAGATAAAATAAAATCTAGAAACTCAGATTTTATATTACGCCCAAAAGGAACCTTTTTTTAAAGTTTTGTGTGTTACTTATATTTATTGAATATCATGTTCTTCGCCCGTAAACCACATACATTTGAAAACAGCATATCTTTAGAATTTCCGCACTGGAGTTAAAACTGTTATTTTCCGTATAGTACTCGCTCTGAACTCGTTGAGTTTGTTAATCAAAAATTCGTTAGTTTTACAAAATATGAAATAGATTAAAACAAATTCGAAATTCGGCCATCCAGATGCCCATGTTCGAGTGGAGGATTACATTATTCAAAATTTGATGGCTCTAGATACTGTCGTTTTTGTCACAGTGCGAGAAACATACATGTATTAATGCAGATTCTTCATTATTTAATTTCTTTACATATAATACAGGGCAATAATATTTGGTAACAACAATTTGCAAGGAGACACGGACATTTATAGTAAAACAGCGCAAAATGTCGCTTCGAAACTAACAGCCTTTCTAGGCTATCTCCGCTTTGGGCTAATAAATTAAATTAACAGTAAATAAAAAAAAAATCTTATGCAGAACTAAAAATAAATTTAAAAAAATAATCACTATAAAATACAAGCAAAATTAATTATTACAGTTAAATACAATTTTAATATTAGAATTAAATGCATAAAAATTTTTAAGGAGTCAAAAGTGTTTATCACTATGATGTGTTATGAAATATAATTGAAATAAAATTTCCTTATAGAAATTATGCTATAATACTCATCTATAATTTTAAAAAGGCAGCACAATTTAGAATTTTAAACAAAACTTTCGAAAATTCGTTTTTAAATATTTTAGTATTTTTTACTTATTTACACCAATAAAAAGCATAAAAATCGCAAGAGAAAATTGCTTGCTTGAAATTTTCTATTAGTTCAGATTTAAAATATTATTTTCTAAAAGAAGTAGTTACAAATTTCCTTACAGCATAGGAAAAGCTAAAAAAATAGCCAGGCCTGAAAGCATGCAACAGCTTTATAATTATTTGAAACAATAATTATGCTTGATAAATATGCTAAATTTTTAAAAATCTATCTCAGTTTCAAAAATAAAAATATGTAGAAATTCTAATTTGTGAAATGAGGCGCTACAACCAGCTTTTTCTTGACAATTATACAAGCTACAATAGGCAACCAATGTTAAATTTCTGCAAGTCGCCCCTACTCTTCCGGATGTGATCAAGGTGACAGCCGGCAACGCCTCAGACCGTCACCATCGAGATAGATAAGGCCTGCGCTCTGAAACGAAACTGGCTTGTGACGTCACGGTTAAGGGACCCTCAGCAAACTTTTTGTTGGCTTTTATAAGTTGTAATTTTTTATTCATTATGTTTTAAGAATTGAATTTATGTTTACTTTTGACATCTGAAGCATCATCCCTTGTAATAATCACTAACACTAGTAATATAAAAATTGTCAGCAAAATTTATGATCATTTATTTTAATTGGAAACTAATTTTATATGAAATAACTGTCCTAAGGGGTTAAAAGCATAACACTTATTTCATTACATAATATGTAGAATATCAAATGCAGAATAAATTTGATTCTTGACAGAGTACTGTGTTCTTAAATTTAAATATCAATGTTTTTTGCAAATAATTAAATATCATTTTATCATGATGAAACTTAAATGCATATGTTTAGCTAATATAGCTTCTGTTCACTTTTATATATGTTATTATCATGCAATCAGTTTGTTTAAAATTTGTTATGCAATATAAATCTTTCTGAGAATGATAGAAAAGTTTCTAAAGTAATGTATGTAAGATTCATATTAAGGTAATTAAATTGCGAAACTGCAAAATGAAATTTTAAAAATATACAGTTATTGAAGAAGCAGTAGTAATTGAATTCATATGTAGACATACTTGTTTTCATTGTATTTCAATTCAATTATTAATAGAAAAAATATTTTCAGAACAGAGGTAACGCTTATAGTTAAATAGGTATGATGTAAATATTTGCAAGAAATTTCAGTTTCTAAAAGTTTTTTAAGTATTTCGTATATTTTTAAAATATTTTCAAAAAAATTGTATATAACTTTATTTTAAAAACTTTTTTCCTGTCTTATTTGGAATTTTAATATTGATAGTTTTCAGAGCTATGTAATAAACATTATCTCAATTTAACTACAGATTCTGTCGAATAATTATGTAGCATTAAGAGGAAAAATTAACTGTAATACAGATTAACATACAATATGTAAGTAAGAAATAATTTTAAGACTAGACTATTTAGTAATTTATTACATTCAGAAAAATTTTCTGACTGATATAAGGCATTTAAATTGTTAGTCTATATTAAGTAGTCTCTTGCATTCGTTTGATGTTTTATAATCCTGCTACATTAATATGATAGTTATAAAAAAAATATGCAATAATTATAGAATGAGAGATAACATGTGTTCCCCACTGGCAAACATTTTGTTAAAGTAGTGGGTGAAACAAAAAAAAAATTTTGATGCGGTAATGAGAATCAACGAGAGACACAAAGACAGTGCAGAAAAATCAAAGTAAAAATTTTAGCTACTTGAATTTTAAAACCAATTTTTCTTCAAAGAAATG